GCAGCAGCAACAGCAGCAGCAGCAGCAGCAGCAACAGCAGCAGCTGCTGCTGCCTACCTAGAAATTTGATATATCCTGTGCCGTCTTCGTTGGGTTTTTCTCCTGAAAGCAGCAGCAAAGTTTGTGCTGCATGCTGCGCCCCACACGGTGCATCATTTGCTGCTGCTGCTGGATTTTGCTGCTGCAGTGCTTGCAGCGCCAGCCCCAACTGCAGCAGCTGCTTCTGCGCTGCAGGATGCTGCAGCCCCAAAACGCTGCAGCAATTCGCCGCTACGAACAGCCAGCCGCGGAGAGCCTCTGCACACAGCAGCAGCAGCAACAGCAGCAGCAACAGCAGCAGTAGCAGCGACAGCAGCAGGAAGCTAAGAGAGATATTTATCCTGGTGCACGCATGCAATGTTGTTTGCTTCTGGGGCTCTGTACCTGCTGAGGGCTCTGAAAGGAGACTGCTGCTGAGGGCCCGATAAAGACGCTCTAGAGCAGCCACCCATACACTGCATGCACCGCCGCTGCAGCAGGCTGCTGCTGCTGCTGCTGCTGTTGCTGCTGCTGATGCTGTTGCTGTTGCTGCTGCAGCAGGAGGAGGATTCAAAGTGTCTGCTAATGCTGCTAAGGCCCCATCAACAGCTGCTGCTCCCGCTGCATTTGATACAGCCAGTGCATGCGCATGCAGCCCCAAAGCTGCTGCAGTGGATGCAGCACCTGCTGCGTCTCCGCAGCACAGCTGCCTCCCCACAGCACCGAGGCCGCCACACCCACAGCTGCTGCTGCTGCTGCCGTTGCTCAGTTGCTGCTGCTGCAGCTGGGCCTCGAGGGCCCCTGCTGCTAAAGGAAGTTCGTCCCTTGTGAAGAGTCTCTGTGCTGCTGCAGCAATATCTCCGTTTTGCTGCAGCAGCACCAGCAGCAGCTGCCACAGACCAGCTACCTGCAGAGCACACATTCGCTGCGGCTCTTGCTGTGGTCGCTGCTGCTGCTGCTGCTGCTGCATGCGCAGAGCAACAGCCTTCTTAAGAAAGGAGACAAGTGCTGCAGTCGTGCGGGAGTCTGAGGCCCCCAGGGGCCCAGGGTATTCCAGCAGCAGCTGACACAGCTGCGCAGCAGGTGCTGCAGCAGCCTCCCCAGCAGCAGCAGCAGCAGGAGCAGCAGCAGAAGCAGCAGGGGCGCCCTCTGCAGCAGTAAGCAGCTGCATGGTGCTGCGGCAGCAAAGAGTAGAGCCCTCAGCAGCAGCAAACAACCCGCTGCTGCTAACAGCAAAGGGGACGCCACGGGGCCCCACACTATGGATTGCATCAGCAGCAGCAACAGCACTGTGCCGTATGTAGATCGTAGGTGCTGCTGCTGGTGCTGCTGCTGCTGCTGCTGTTGCTCCTGCTGCTGTTGTTGCTGCTATTTCCGCTGGAGCTGCCGGTGCTGCTGCTGTTACTGCTGGGTTCGGAGGGCCCATGCTCAGCTGTTGCTGCTGCTGCTGCTGCTGCAGCAAGGACAAGGGTAATGCTGCTGCTGCTCCAGCAGCCGCTGCAACTGCTGCAGTGGCTGCAGCTGCTGCAGCTGCTGCAGCCGGAGGACCTTGAGAGAGGGAGGCCTCCGCGAAAAGCCCCTCCGTAGCAGCCGGTGTAGCAGCAGCAGCAGCAGCAGCTGCTGCTGCTGCTGCAGTTCCTGCTGCTTCTGCAGGGGATCTGTCTGCCAGGCCCCAGTCTTGTTGCTGCAGCAGCTGCTGCTGGTGTGGTATCTGCTGCTGCAGCTCTTGTTGCTGTTCATGCTGCTCCTGGAGATGCTGCGGCTGCTGCTGCTGCTGACTCACAACGAAGGGGTCGTGGAAAGGCTGCTGCTGCTGTTCCTGTTGTTGCTGCTGCTGCTGCTGCTGCTGCTGCTGCTGTTGCTGCTGCTCCCCTTGCTCCTGCTGCTGCAGCGGCTGCTGGCCGGTTGCAGCTTCTACTTGTGTCTTCTCCGTAGCAGCAAAAGCTTCATCTGAGACGAAGCTGAAAGCAGCATCCGCAGCCGTTGCTGCTACTGCTGCTGCTGTTGCTGTTGCTGTTGCTGCTGCTGCTGCTGCTGCTGCTGCAGAGACAGCTGGGGGCACCAGCGGGGTTGTATCAGAATCTTCAAACAGCCAAGCGGGGTCTTCCTTCCACGGAGACACTGCAGCAAAAGGAGACAGCAAAGAAGACAGATAATAAATAAATAAATAAAATAAATTAAACAAACAAAAAAGATAAAGGAGACACTGCAGCAAAAGGACACATAAGCACACCAACAGCAACAGCAACGCCAGCAGCAACCGCAGCAGCAACAGCAGCAGCAACAGCAGCAGCAACAGCAGCAGCAAACAGCAGCAGCAACAGCAGCTAAGACTTACCCGGGGCCGTGGGTTCGTCGAGTGCCACGTCGGAGACACAAGGCGAAATAGATACAGGTTCAGGCTGCTGCTGCAGCTGTTGCTGCTGCAGCTGCTGCTGCTGTTGCTGAAGCAGCTGCTGCTGCTCTTGTTGCTGCTGCAGCTCTGCCTGTTTCTGCTGCTCCAACTGCTGCTGCTGCTCCTGCTGCTGCTCCTGTTGCACATCAGGCTGCGGCTGTAGGAACTGAGGTAAGGGCACTCCCTGCTGCTGCTGCTGCGGTTGCTGCTGTTGTTGCTGCTGCTCTTGTGCGGCCGCTTCGTGCTGCTGTCCTTGCTGCAGTTGCTGCTGAGCCTGCTGCAGCGGCAGGCTGTGCAGTTCTTGCTGCTCTTGCTGCTGCTGCTCAGGCTGTCCCTCCACCAGCTGATGCAACTGCCGCGTTTGCTGCAAGTCCTGAGGCTGCTGCTGCTCCTGCTGCAGCAGCAGCGGCTGCTGCTGCTCCTGCTGCTGCAGCAGCGGCTGCTGCTGCTCCTGCTGCTGCAGCTGCTGCTGCTGCTGGCCTGAATCTTGCCACAGGAAGGGGCTTGTTTGTGCTATCGGCTGCTGCAGCGGTTGCTGCAGCTGCTGTTGCTGCTGCTCCTGCTGCGGCTGCTGTTGCAGCTGCTGCGGTATTTCAGAGGTGGCGACGAGTGGGTGCTGCTGCGCTGCCTGCATGCCCTGCTGCTCCGGTTGCTGTAGCTGCTGTAGCTGCTGCAACTGCTGCAGCTGCTGCGGTTGCTGCGGTTGCTGCACCTGCTGTTCACTGCTGCCCCACAAGTCTTCGAAGGCCCTAAGCCGCTGCTGCTGCGGCTGCTGCTGCTGCTGGGGCTGTTGCTGCTGCTGTTGCTGCTGCTCTTCCTGCTCCGGGTGCTGCTTCACCTCTTCTTGTTGCTGCTGGGGAGCAGGATGCTGCTGTGCTTCTTGTTGCTGGGCTCCTTGCTGCTGCGGCTGCTGCTGCTGCTGCTGCATTAGCGGCTGCTGCTGCATTAGCGGCTGCTGCTGCTGCAGCGTCTGTTGTGGCTCCTGTTGCTGCTGCTGCTGCAGTGTCTGTTGTGGCTCCTGTTGCTGCTGCTGCTGCAGCGTCTGTTGTGGCTCCTGTTGTTGCTGCTGCTGCAGTATCTGTGGTGGCTCCTGCTGCTGCTGCTGCAGTATCTGTTGTGGCTCCTGCTGCAGTGTCTGTGGGGTCTCCAGCTGCTGCTGATTCTGCTGCTGCTGCTGCTGCTGCTGCTGGTTCTCTGTACTGCCGGCGTCTACGGAGGAGAGACGCGAGGGCCTCCCTGACTCTTCGGCTTGCAATCGCTCTTTAAGCTGTTCTATTTGCTGCTGCTGCTGCTGCAGTTGCTCCTTCAGGAGCTGCTGCTGTTGCAGCAGCTCCTGCGAAGGCGGCATGCTGCTGCTGGGCGAATTTTCCTGCTGCGCCTGCAGCTGCTGCTGCAGCTGTTGCTGCTGTTGCTGCTGCAGCTGCTGTTGCTTTAGTTGCTGCTGCATCTGCTGCACCTGTTGCACCTGTTGCTGCAGCAAACCCGCCTGTAACTGCTGCTGTTGCTGCTGTTGCTGCTGCTGCTGCTGCAGCGAGGGCGTGAGGGTCAGAGGAGGCACTGCAACAGGAGCAGCCCCCGCAGCAACACTAGCAGCAGGGGAGTTGAAGCTGCTGCTGCTGCTGCTGCTGCTGCTGCTAGTGATCGGCAGGCGAGCAAAAGGATTGTGAGGTATATACACCTGGGGAAGGGGCCCCAGACCCAGCTGTCTCTTGGGGGCCCCCTGCAGCAGACCCTCCATACTCCCGGGAGTTGATGAGAGCAGCTGCAGCTGCTGCAGCTGCTGCTGCTGCTGCTGCTGCTGCTGCTGCGGCTCTCCAAAGCTGCTGGTGCTGCTGTTACTTGCAAAGACAAGACAGGGTTTAGGGGTCCCCTGGGCCCCCACAGCAGCAAACGCCGCCTCCGACAATCCCCCGAGTGCAGCAGCAGCAGCAGGTTGCTGCTGCTGCTGCTGCTGCTGCTGCTGCTGGGCTGCGGTGCCCCCTGCGAGAAGCACCTGCCCCAGGGAAGGCAGCAGAGGAGACGGAGCTATGTGTGTTGCTGCTGTCTCCTGCAGCAGCGGAGAGAGGCCCCCCTGCAGCGCAGCAGCAGCTTCAGCAGCAGCACCAGCAGAGCTAATAGGGTTTGCTGTCAGGGGGGGGCCCCCCAGCCCCCGGAGAGGCATAGTGGAGGCCCCAGGGGCCCCCGTACCCTCAGCAGCAGCTAGCGGTAGCACCTGAGGCAGCACTGCAGGAGAAGCAGAGACAGATACAGATGGAAGGGTTTGCATGCGGGTGGGGGCCCCCAATGCAGGTGCTGCTGTTGCTGCTGCTGCTGGTGCTGCTGCTGCTGCTGCTGTTGGTGCTGCACCTGCTGCCTGCGCCGTTAGCTGCGGTGCTGCAGCAGCAGTCCCCATAGAAACCCCTTGAGGGTTTAGGGGCCCCCCTGACACCGTAGTGAGGGCCCCGGGGGTGAAAGCAGCAGCAGCAGGTTGCAGTTGCTGCAGCTGCTGCAGCTGCTGCAGTTGCTGCAGCTGCAAGGAAGCAGAGGGTTGAGGGGGCCCCCGAGGGCCCAGAAGGGCCCCTACTTCTATCGACTGTGCAGGAGACAGAGACACCGCAAGAGAAGGTAAAGAGCTAGCTAAAGAAGCAGACCTCTGAAGGGGCCCCAGGGGCCCCAGGGGGCCCCCCCCTAATGCTGCTGCATGCGAAGACCCCACAGAAGGCATAGACAATGCGCTAACCCCTGAAGCAGCTCGTGAAGGAGGTGGAGGTGTAGGTAGAGACAGCAGTTGTACAGGAGCAGCAGCAGCAGCAGCAGGAGCACCTGTGCCTGCTGCACTCATAAGGGCCCCCCCAGCACTCATAGGGGCCCCTGCTGCAGTCAGAGGGGTCCCTGCTGCTGCTAGAGGGGCCCCTGCTGCTGTGACAGGGGCCCCTGTTGCTGCTATAGGGGCCCCCCCTGCTGCAGCGATAGGGGGCCCCCCTGATGCGATAGGGGCCCCTACAGCAGACAGGGGGGCCCCTGCTGCAGCTAGGGGGCCCCCTGCTGCTGCTATAGGGGCCCCTGCTGCAGTGATAGGAGGGGGGGCCCCTGCAGCCTGCAGTAGGGGGCCCTGGCTAAGCATTTGCCGCTGAAGAGAGAGCTGCGTGTAAGCAGCAGGTAAAAGTAGATAAAATAAAAGTTACGCATAAATAAATACAAGAAAAAGAGCTGTCTCTAACACGAGACCCCGCTCTCGCTGCGGTGTATACGCAGCTGTCTATATATTTATCTCGCTCGCTATCTGCTGTCTGCAAACCCTAAACCCTAAACCCTAAACCCTAAACCCTAGACCCTAAACCCTAAAACTAAAATGCACGCCCGCAAGTAGACAGGAAACACACAATGAAACAGAAACAATAGCCTAAACCCTAAACCCTAAACCCTAAACCCTAGCAGCCGCAGCAGCAAGCAGTAGGAGGCCCCGTAGACAGAGCTGGCGGAGTCTGCTGCATGCATAAAGGTGAGAGGTTAAACAAAACTTTTTAAATAGAAGAGTTAAGGGTTATGGTTAATATAAAACGAGAGCAGCATACACCTGAGACAACTGCAGACACATTTAAAGAGCAGCAGCAGCAGCAGCAGCAGCAAGGGCAGCAGAAGCAGCAGCAGCAGCAGCAACCATGAAACTTCCTTTCCTCTCCTTCAGGAAGGATTCTCTCATTGTGCAGTGTGGGGTCGCTGCATGCATTTGGTGGGCCTGCAAACCAATTTGCTGCTCTCGGCAGCAGCAGCAGCAGCAGCAGCAGCAGCAGCAGTAGTAACAGTAACAGTCACAGTAGCATTAACAGGAGGAGGAGCAGCAGAAGCAACAACGCCGGTATCAGCAGTGTAGTAGCAGCAGTAGCAGCAAACGTAGCAGCAGTTGCAGCAGCAGCAAGTGCAGCAGCACCGGTAACAGCAGCAGCAGCAGCAGCAGCAGCAGCAGCAGCAGCAGTAGTAGAAACAGCAGCAGTAGCGGCAACAGCATCAATGGCAGCAGCAGCATCAGGAGCAGCAGAAGCAGTACAAGCAACAGCAGCAGTAGTATCAGCAGCAACAGTAGCAGCCGCCGCAGCAGCAGCAGCAACAGGAGCAGCAGCAATAGTAGTGGTAGCAGCAGCATCAGCAGCAGCAGCAGCAGCAGCAATAGTGTATAGCGTAGCAGCACACTATCTAGTAGATTCAGAAGCCTAAGGAATCAGTGCCAGTGTGCTGCTGCAGCAGCAGTTCTCCGCAGTAGGAACAGCAGCAGCAGCAGCAGCACTACACAGCAGCAGCACGCATATACAGCAGCAGCAGCAGTATCAGCAGCAGGAGAGGAGGAAGCATTTGCTGCTGTTTGGTTATTCATCTGTCTCCGTTGTATCTTGCTTCTCTTGCTGCTGTGGCTGTTGTTGTTTCTGTTGCTTTTGCTGCTGTTCTTGTCTTGCTGCTACTTCTGTTGCTACTGTGGCTGCTATTGCTGCTGCTGCTGCTGCTGCTGCTGCTGCTGCTGC